GCAATGCTTTAAGTTCACGACCGTTCACCAAAACATTCAACATATCAACACTCTGAGACATTAAACAATCACTGTTAGCATCACCCTCGCATGGTACGTAGCACATACCCATCAGCTTAGGTTTTCTTGCTGGGCAAACTGAGGCTTTGTGTCCATATTGACGACATGCTTAACAGATCAATGTAGGTGTCAGATCAGTCTCAAGTTTCTGTGTATGTCGGTTATCAGTATTGTGATAAATGTGTCATGTACTACCTCTTTCAGGTTGCGTGCGCAGACCGGAGCATTGAGCATTAGCGTACTGCCGGGCTAACCATGCTGCTGCCAGCCTGTGTTTGGTTCATGTTGTTTCACCCAGATCCTGGCTTCCGGTTTCATGACCCTTAGTAGTTGCACCAGAATAATCTGCTCAACGATTTCCTCCACCGAATGGATGTCTGGTCGAATCCAGCAGTGATATAGATGTTTCAGGCAACAATACAATTCTGTCGGAGACTCTCCTTCTGGCGTTGATGCTGCTCTAAAGCGCTGTCGATAGCTTTCCGCCGACACATTGAATTTCTGCAACAGAGAGTCTTTTAATTGCAAGTAATTATCAGCTCTGACCTCATCCATTGCCAGATAAGCCTTCAGCGCTCGACCGGTTAATAGTGGTACCAGCTGACAGCTCCATTGCTCCTTGGGCCACTGCCATGTCTGCGCCAGACTTTCAAATCGCCGTAGTTAGTTCTCCATGTCGTCACCCATCTTAAACGGTGGCAACTGCGTTTCTGGAAGGTGTGCAAACTGGGCCCGGTGATGTGATAGAAGTAGCCCCGCCCTTCGACCTCTCGTTTTCCTCTTCCACGTGACCATCTCACCAATAGCTGTTCCTTCCCCTTTTTGTCACAGGTTGGGGAAGGAAAATAACAAAGAAAATTAAAATTTAGAATTTGAGAAAAAGAAGACCAACTTAATGAATTGTGTATAGATTAGGTAAACAAAAGGTGAGGAAACCAATCTTGCCACAGAAATGTGAAAAAACCACAAGAGTAAACTTAAATCTTTTATTCTTCGGTTCTCATTCAATAAACAATAAATGAAGCATAAGTCTTCAGGAGATGATTAACCAAAACAACAAACAAAACAGATCTAGCTTAGGAGGAGTACTAAATAACCTAGTTCAGGTTAAAGAAAAGAAATGAAACACAAAGGCTTTCCTCAACTCCCTAACTGTGAATAAACACAGTCAAACAAGTATAAAATAAAATTGTCACCCTCTCCCTACAGCTTCATTTTGTAAACAAAAATGTCAAGACAAAGAAAAATTACAATTACCTTTTAAATACCACACAAAAAAGTATATGTAAATCATACAACTTAGAAAGCACTGCCTGTAAAGTTCCACAACAAAAGTTTCTTCAAAGACAGAAGGTTAATTGAACCCAATAGCTTAATAAAACTTCTCAATATACAGCAGGATTAATACCCACAAAGTATGTAACAAGTATGTAACAACCACAAGTCTAGAGCAGGGGAGAAGTGAACCTCTCCTTGGGTTGAGGCACACTGCTCTTTTGTAGCAGCGCGTTACTGCAGCACATTGTTTTACCTTATCACATTGGTTAAGGTACCTGGGTCAGGAATGCACCCCACAACTACACTACAGAAAGAGCATCAGCCATAACATTTTCACACCCCCTCTTGTGCTGAATTTCCAGGTTGTACTCTTGGATGGTAAGGCCCCATCGTAATAAGCGTTGGTTGGAACCTGACATGCGAGAAAGGAACACCAAAGGGTTATGGTCTGTGCACACAATAATGGGCTGAGGACTGTTTCCTAAATGCAGAAATCTCAGATACATGTTGATTGAGTGGCACCTGCCAGTAACCTTTTAGTAAATCTAACTTTGTAACATACTTGGCCAAACTAACTCAATCTACACAGTCTTCCATTCTGGGAAGGGGGAAGAAGCCAGGTTTAGTTAGATTGTTAACTTTTCTATAGTCTGTGCAAAATCGAAAAGTATTATCTGGTTTGGGGACAAGGAGGCAGGGAGAACTCCAAGGACTTTGACTAGGTTCAGCCAGGCCTTGATCATGACATATACTTTACTTCAGATTGCATAATTTCTCGCTTTCTGGGATTCACTCGGTAAGGGTGGTGCTTCACTGGTACAGCATCTTCCGTTATAATGCAAGATTTTGCATTATAACAGAATTTTTTAGTCTAGTACAAGTAGCTGAGACATCTTTACTCACAAGATCATACTTCTCCAAAGAGAAGTTTGAGCCTCTAACAGCAGTGGCAGTGGTGGAAACCGGAAGGACAGCAGACTTATCTTGAGCTTTTTCAAGGTGATTTTGGTCTACATAGGCTTAAAGTCGGTTTATATGACACACACGGCCCTTACCTTTTCGGTCTGGGCTGGCAACAAAAAAAGTTGGTAGCTTTCTCTCAGTCAAATAGGGCCCTGCAAAATTGGAATGCAAGATGGAACCAGGAGCTGGAAGTAAGACTAGGACCAAATCTCCAGGCGGAAAGTCTCTTTTCACAGCCTTCTTGTCATATTGACACTTCATTTTTGTTTGGGCAACAGAGAGATAGAGTTTTGCAATGGCTTGGGCATTCTGCAGCTTTCCGCGGATAGAGGACACATAGTCATCAACGGGCACAGCATTGGAACATGGATTCAACATCTGTTCACTCAACAGTTTTAGTGGACCTCTCAAAGTATGGCCAAACATAAGCTCAGCTGGGCTAAAGCTGAGGGACTCCTGCACAGACTCTCTTACTGCAAACATTAGAAAAGGTAAACCTTCAACCCAGTCTTCACCGGTCTCTATACAGTAACGGCGTAGCATGGTTTTCAGGGTCTGGTGAAACCTCTCCAGGGCACCTTGACTCTCAGTATGGTAGGCAGAGGGTGTCTGATGGCTTATACCTAGTTCCTTTAGAGTCTGTTTAAAGATCTTGAAAGTGAAATTTGAACCTTGGTCACTTTGGACTTTTTTGGTAGGCCAAATGTGGTGCAGAATTTAATTAGCTCTTTTACCACAACCTTTGCTTTCATGGTCTGTAATGGAACAGCCTCTGGGAAATGGGTGGCAGCACACATAATGGTCAAAATGTACTGATACCCAGATTTAGCTTTGGGCAATGGCCCCACATAGTCAATAATCAACTGTTTAAATGGATCAGTTATAACAGGTATAGGGCATAGAGGTGCAGGTGGGATCTTCTGGTTGGGTTTACCATCCAACTGGCATGTGACATGACTTACAAAATTTCACAACTGCTGATTTAAGACTAGGATAAAAGAAATTCTTCACAATGCGTTTGTAAGTTTTTGTGACACCAACATGTCTATCTGTGAACTGGTTGGTAAGTACTCTCTTTTCTTAAATATTTTGACTGTTTTCGACTGTTGGTGGGGAGGACAGTGTAGAGAGAGAGTTTGACTTATGTTATGTTTTCAGGACAAGTCCCCAAATTATTACTGGTCAAGTGAGCTCTCAAATTGTTATCAGTCAGACAAGCTGCCAATTTGTTACCGGTCGGATGTGCACCCAATTTATTACCGGTTGGACGAGCCCCCAATTGTTCACAATTCACAAAAAGGGATCACTGCTTAAAAGAGATGTATTGAATCTCCAATTTGAAGTTCTGGGAACACTGAGTACAGGATCAATTTCCTAACGTACTGCTGCATGATCTGACAAGACAATAGAGTCAATATGACTAGATTGAACTGCGCGCAAAAATTGCTTAGGGAGAAAAAAAATAGTCAAGCCTGGAATACGAATTGTGAGGATGAGAATAAAATGTAAATTATCTCGCTTTAGGATATAATTGATGCAATATATCTATTAAAGCAGAATCAGAACATAAGATATTGAGCACCTTTGATGAATTAGGATTTGATACATTTGCAGATGAAGATCTGTCTATGGAAGCGTTCATTATACAATTAAAGAAAGTCTCCAATTAGAAAACCTAAGCCTTTACAATGGTAAGAGAACATTAGATCATATAGGATATAAAATTAGGAAAATCTAAATTTGGAGCATAGAGATTGAGAATTGCTATATGATGTTTGAAAATTGATCCTGTAATAAAAAAATAAATCTCCCTTCAGCATCTTATTCTTTATATTCTATAAAAGGTATATTTTATATATACCTATTGTAGCAAGGCAGAGGGAAAACACATACACAGTCGCGTTAGTTACAAACAAGTCCCCAGAGGGTGCTTTATTTACAAAGTGAATGATGTGCAAATACGGTGCTCTTCTTAGTAATGGTGCTCGGGTTGCTCCGGGGAGAAGGTGAAGGAAAGTGAGAGTTCGGGTGCTGGATCGTCACGAGCTGAAGTCTACTGTGGGAGAGACAGAGAGACACAAGCGTTAGCACAGGGAGTCATCTGAGAATGAAGCTCATCTTCTTCCTGTGTGGGGCTGGCTGTTATGCCTCTCTGGCTGATGAGCTCCAGCTGTGAGCGATCCGGTGCTGATAAGGTGCCAGCTGGGGTGAATCTTGGTCCAGGGCTACGTGGCATCGATATACTCGCTACCCCCCCACCCCCCTTAGCGTCGTCCTGGTCCTGGGATATCTGTGGAGAAAAGGTAGATTATTGAGAGGGGGGGGGGTGAATGTTAAGACAGACCTGCCAATCCTGACCATAGTCTTGAGAGACCATCAGCGTTTCCATGGGAGGCCCCGGCTCAATGTTGGACGTCAAAGTTGAAATCCTGGAGTGACAGGAACCACCTGCTGACCCGAGCCTTGTTGTTTTTCGCCGTTGCCATCCATTGTAGTGGTGCGTGGTCAGTCACCAGGGTGAACTTCCTGCCTAGAAGATAGTATCTTAGCTCCAGGGTTGCCCACTTGATCGCCAGGGCCTCTTCTCCACCGTTGCGTATCTGGGTCTTGGTGGTGGGTTGTGGAGTTTCTTGTAGTGTGTTGGGATTTCTTAATGGCATTAGCCATTTCCCTGCGTGTTCAATGAGAGTCAGGAGAGGTTTTCTTCAATGCAAAAGTATTAGCCATTTAATGAATACAATTGAATAATTCAATAGATACAGAGCTCCGGGTTGGAGGTGTCCCTCACGTATGTTCAGGCCATCTTCAACAACAACTCTTTCTTTCCAACCACTTTTATACACATGTGTAAACAACTGGTGTTCTAGGAATTGGCCGGGTGTGGTCCTTTACGTTCTGTATTATCTGGCCTTGGCACCACAGACCCTGGCCCCTCTTGACGTACATACATGAACATGACACAGCTAAATTACATACATAAACATGACACAACTATATAACATACATGGGCATAACACAGCTACATTCATAGAAAGAAATAAAAGAACTACAATTAAAAAGTAATAAATTTCTAACAAAATCCCTCTTTTGAGCTCCTCTAAAGGAGCTCACAACCACAAATAACCAAAATCTAAACGTAAAGAAAAAAAAAAAAATCAATTAACATTATTACAAATATTTGCCAAATACAATCCTTTACCCATTTTTCCAAAATGGTTGCTTACACCTTGTTGTTTACATAGTGCTCGTTCATTATATTAAAAAACACCCATAAACCCTTTTAACTCAATTCCCTATCTGTTGGATTCACTCAACAATCTGTTCACCCCTAGTTCTTCTTGAGTGGTGGAGTCTCTCTACTCCATGGCTTCATTCTAATCATTTCTTATCATAAAAATTATGCCCACTATATTCAGGCTTGTTTTGCCAAACACTCCCATTAACTTCCAATTATTTCACAATTTCATTTTCCTACCTTATGCACTTTATCATAAGAGGTATGATTATTTATTTATATTATTCAGTTATTATTAGTTATCAATATAATTCAAATCAAAATAAACAAGCTTTAGAAATTTGATTACGATCAAAAAGGAAATCCAAACCTGTAAAAAAAATGCTCCAATGAAAAATTCAAAACTACCATAATATCATTGAGATCTAAGGTCCAAACTTTTTACAATGAAATTAAAAACTGTAGCATTATGGGTAGAATCAAGACATTGATTAACATGAAAATCAAAACCTCAAACGTTCTGGTCAAATTGTCATCTGTTGGTAAATCAGTGACTTTCTCTTTTGTGATCAAACAGAACACTGTTCTTTGTCCCTCTTTTGTGATAGCACACTTCCTCGTTGTCATCCGTAGGCCTGCACTACTATCAGGTTGCTCCCATGTATTAAGGTTACTGCGTGTTTAGCTCCTACCCCAATACATGCTTGCACTCCCTATTTAGTCAGACGTCCCCTCTTGGCATGAGGGCAGCGGGTCAATCATTTGTTTATGTTGTTCTTTGCTACGCACTCCCCCTCTCGGCCTTGATTTTACTCATGGCCGCCATCTGTACTCCTCAGCTGCCAGTTTGGTGAATCTGTTCGAAACATAAACATTCCATTACTATCATGGATCACCTTTAACCTGTAACCTCAGTCTGTGTGATGTTCTCTGTCACTCTTTATAGACCAAACCACCTTGGCTCCTCCCACTTTCACCTGAATACCTTCAGCAACACCTATTCAGATGTAGGGACAACTTTTTCTTAGGCCCCCTCCAGGCATTTCACAAAAATCTGTTCAGAAAAATCTGAGAGTAAAGCTGTTAATTTGTCATAATATGGCTTGTTCATCAGCGGTGCACTGTCAGTGCACGTCAAGGCTGCTCCTGGTTCTGGATACTGATGACCTGTCAACAATTCAAAAGGTGTAAAACCCATTGTTCTATTCAGTGATGATTTAATACCCATACATTCAATTGGTAAGGCCTTTACCTAATTTAATTTGGTCTGTGCCAATTATTTGTCTGCATAGCCTGCTTTTAATTCTACTTCAGTATCCCTATAACAATACCCATCCGTTTGCAAGTTTCTACCTCACCTGTCAGTGCCACTGCTCTTAAATCTGGTCTCAGCTTACTATCCCCCAAGATTAACTCTTCGCAATTGTGTGGCTCTCTCTCTCAACCATATAGTCAGCCATGTTGATGCCATCATGTGTGAAAATTAGGTTTGTTGGTGCACTCAACCTTTTTAACAATCTATTCTGTCTTAGCGATGACATTGTTACTGCAAAAGAAGTTACGTATGCCTTCTGTGAGTGTGATGTCTACATTTTGACTTCATGTCTCATGATCAGATGTGCTGTTTTCTGAATTATCTTTTCTAACTTTGCTGCAAATTTTGTAGATGGAAGCTGGCATTGTTCTACCTTGTCCATTAAAAAGCTAAGATGCATCAAAACCATCTTTTTCCTTTTTTTACTGAAACAAAACTTTTCCACTGTCTTTTCTGTTTCTGACACATCTTAATAGAAAGGACGCCTATACTCAAGATTAGCCAAATCAGCTACACTGGCTGCTGAACTGCTTCTCTGTTTCTGTTGTCCAATCTAGTGTAGCATTCAACTGTCCAGCTCCCTTTTCCTACACTAGTTGTCTTAATGGTGTTGTTCTATCAATGAATTGTGGTATGAGGTGTCTACTGAACCCAGCCAGGCCCAAAAATGACAGCATATCTTTTATAGTCATCGTTTTTTGTTCTTCAAAATAGCTGATCGGTGGTTGGGAGATATTACCATGTCCAGTCCAGACACTACTCGTCCCATCAATGTGACCTGTGGCCTACACACTTGTAATTTTGATTTACTTACTTTGAAATATTTATAATTACTCCTGCTTAGTCACATTTAAACTGGTGTCATCTGTTTTTGCAGCTAGTAAATTGTCATCCAAATATTGGATCAACACCACTCTCTCTGGCAAAGGTCAATCGCTCAGTAGAGCTCTCAGGGTGTGATTGAACAACCCTGGAGACAATATGAAACTTAGAGGTACCCTTGTGTACCTGTATTGCTGCCCCCTAAAGGTAAATGAAAATGTCCCTCAATTTTGGTGCCAGTGGTAAACAGAAAAATGAATTAGCTAAATCTATACGGGTGAACCACTCATGTTCTGGACTCAATGCTTATAGTGCAGCGTATGGATTTTGGCATTGGTAATGTGGCTGTCTGCACTATCGTGTTAACCTTTTTTTCCATGAGCCATCCTGTAGTTTCCTGTATTTTGTTTTTCTACAGATAAATTTGGAGTAAAATTCTGTCATGAGTTTGATGGCTCTAACACACCTACTGTTATCAATTCTTCTATTGTGTCTGCAATGACTGTCTCACCTTGTGGCTTGTAAGAATAGTGTGCCTGTCAAATCAGCCTATTTTCAGTCAATTCAATTGTCTGAAGCCAAGGAACAAAAATACACATCTGTTGGTCCTGTGGACCATAATTGGCTTGGTAAAAGGTCTAACATTGGTACTGTCAGCTCATGATCTGTTCTGTCCCTTTCCATGCCACCTCGTGACCAATACGTGTTTCATGATCATGCTATCTACTGTAGACGTATCAATTAGATATGTTTTATCTGATGGTGGATAAAATACATTTGGTATTTTGGTGGCAACCTAATCTGTCCATTTAGACAATCCTTTTATCATTGGCCCTAAATCCTTAGCTTGGTGCTCTGGATGTATGGTCAATTTGACATGTGGTTCTGCTTCTGGACCCATCATATACTATTATCTATGTTCTGTAGCCAAGTAAATTGCCCCTACTACTCCTTTTTTTCCACCCAAATTCCCTTTCACCCAATTTGCCAATAATAGTCTTCCAATTTGCTTTAAAAAGTTTCTTAATCCCATTTGGTTTGGTTTCTGTTATAGAATAAAGTCATGTGTGTTGGGTCGCTGAAAGGCATGTATGGTGCAATAAGGGTTACCCAAGATTTCCATAAGGCATAGAGCGAGAGCTGGCCCTCTCCTTGTGGGGTATCTGGTTACAGTTTGCTCCAGTATTTGTCAGCTTCCTCAGGTTCTTATGCAGATGACAGTAGCCACTGTCCTTCCATGCCAGGTGTGTTTAATGAACAGTTCTTGGTGAGGCCTGTGGGAAATCTTACAATGACACCATCAGCACAGCACAGAATTGATGCACCCACTTTTATCCACAAGTCTGTGCCCAATAAGTCCATAGGGCTCTGTCTGATAACAGAAATCTGTGTTTCAGTTGTTGTCCAGCCACAGACACTGATATAGGCTCAGTTAAAGGCAGTCTTTCACATTCACATTGCTCAGAGAAAGCCATCACTTCCACAGGAATTTTTTTTTTTTTTTTTGGTGAAATTAAGTCCTGGTCGTCTTTGGTGACCAACATTGAGCATGTGGCCTGAGTGTCAACCAAAAAGTTCAGATGGTGTTCGTTAAAATCCATCGATAGCAGTGGCTCCTCCCTAGCCCTGCTTCTGTCTCTGTGTGTGCTTCCTCAGTACTGTCCTTCTCCTCCTTAGAGTGGATATAGGGTTCCACCCTGCCCTGGGTTCTGTCTGCCAGGGTTTAGAGCTAGCCCTGTGTGTGATGCCATGAAGCCTCGGCCTCCTTGCATACCCCCTCTGTGGGCTTGTTGGTTCTGGCTCTGGGGACAGTTAGTTGAATTGTATTCCCCTTGATTGCACGTGTAGCATCTTTGACAGTCACATGCTTGATGGTTGGGTAACCCACACAGGAAGTAACCCTCTCAACGCTCCCGCCCCCTGTCAGCCCTGGGACCCCATTGAACCCTCATGTCTCCCCTACTCTGTCCTCTAAATTAATGTTGGCATTAAGGTATTGGGTTGTACACGGGTGCCATGTAGGGTTGTTCAGGCTTAGGTGACAGCACCAATTGTTGACTTTTTTAGTTCTGACCATTGACATCCTATCTAGCTTTGTTCATAATTTTAATAATAGTTTTTTCTTCCTTGATTTCAGACTCTCGTCAGCTTTGTCTTTAGCCCTGTTCATACGATGTGTCAAATGTCTCTCCCAGGTGGCAGGAGCACTTCCTGGTATATCTGGCTTTTCTTTTAGAGCTGCTTTGACGCAGCTTTCCATACTCTCAGCCATGACTGCTCTAAACACCCCTTTATGTATGGGGTTAGCAAGAGGATGTGTCCCAGTTTGGGCTTCCCACTCCTGTTTGCACTACATCACATAAGCTGCCGGTTTTTCATTTGCCTTAGGGGTAAATTTTATATTACGTATGGCCTCAGCTGGTGCTGAAAACTTTCTTCTAATCACTGCTCCTCAAGCAGTTGCTACGTTTGCCAAAAGGAATGCTTGATGAAAATCTATTAGTGTCAGCTTGCTGTTCAATTTGTCTCAGTTCCCCATTAGAAATTATTTGCCCCAATATATATCTTAAGTCCCCCACTGCCAATCTGTGGTAGGCATGGGCCAGTATGAGATTCTGACGGTATGATAACCTTGGACAAAAATATCACAGTTTCACAGTATTGTGCTCACTGCCCCAAAATATATTCCCCTTGTCTTGGTAAAAAATGAAAGTTTTATGCTATTTTTGAGCAGTAAACATGTCAGAATATGTAATTAAAATGAATTATTGACTTTTGCTGTCTTCATTTGGTTCAAAAATACAGATTTCTTTTTAATTTAATACAGTATCTTTGTATATCTTTTATATTTTCTGCTGGAGGTACTAAAAATGAAAAATGTAAATAAAAAAAATTATAATCTTACTCGTACCTGAGGAACGGTATTACCAAACTTTTTGGCGGTTTTTAAAACTTTGATTTTTCCAAACCGCGGAATACCTTGAAAAATCCTAATCTGTGGCCTTGGGTTAGCGAGATTATTCTAGCTAGCCAATTGTCTCCCCCTTTGGTGACATGTGGTAATTCTTTCCATAATAGCATGCATATCAGTTAAGCACCATGGCTGGTATTCGTCTCTACCATTTTTCACTATTAGAGGATATAGGGAAATTAGTGTCATTCAATGTTTCCTCTTCCTGTTTGTGTTCCTTTTTTTCTCCCTCAATATCTTCTACCCTAAGCCTCCATTTGTTCACATTAGATCTTGTATTATCACTTACTAATTCTTGTGTTAATGCTTCCCTTACTTTCTGCATTGATTCTTGTGCTGAACCCAACTTCTGATTCATCCACTGTTTCTGACTGTCTGTCACCCTAAAGTCTTGTATAGGAGCAGAAGGAGTGGCTTTTATCATAGGGTACACACCCCCCACACTGCCTTCAGTGCCTTTATTTTTCTTCTCACTCCTGCTCTGACTGTCTGAGTGCTCACTTCTCATTTTCTGCTCTTTCTCTTGGGCGTGCCCCTCATCTGCTAAAGGAAGATTGTGGCACAGTAAGAAGTTAGTCATTCTTTCTTCAGTTTTATTTATTTATTTATTTAAAATTATTTTAATTAATTTATTAATTTATTTATATATTTTTTCTGGCACCCCAATAGCCCTGAAGTTATTTTGCCTATGTTCTTTAAGTTGTTTATGAGACTGGACTTTATTTCTCAGAACTTTAGCCAATTTCACTCTTGGATCACCTTCCCAGCCATTTGCACATTTTACATTATACTGACTTTCTCTAATTTCTTTTTAGTTCATGCTTTTTATTGATCTCTGTCTCACTCATTAATTGATTAATTACATCATCTCACTGCACTTTTAATTTTGTTTCAAAATAAAGTCTCATCCTCCTCAAACACTTTGTCAAATTCTCTCTCCATTTTTACACATTCACTCAGCCAAGTTTACTAGCAATAATTTATACATACACTAATAAGTTATTTATCTATTTAAACTATTTGCTGTTTAATGGCTTATTTTTCTTTAGCTCCAAGTTATTTTCTTCATTCTTTCCCCATATCTTTTCATATATTCTAATAGTTATTTACTAGCTGGTCTTTACATTGTAATTTTTTCTATATAATTTTCTATTATACATGTATATTTTAATCAATGTACTAACTTATCTATTGTTTAATCATATTTATTTATTTGATAAATTTATTTCTTTATTACTATATTCATTCATATGGCTTCACATTCCATTTCAACTAATATAACGATATTGAGTATATCTTACTCTTACTTTCGGCATTTCTTTATTTCACTTATCTTATTACACTGCTTTACAATATATATTTATTTAATAACCTATATTGTACCCATTATTAGTATTATTATTATTAGTCTTATCATCATCATATTCGTATTATTATTATATTATTATTAGTCTTATCATCATTATCTGATCTAATAGTTTGATATTCTCTTTTATGCTATTCTGCCTCTGTTTGCCATTTCACAGACTCTATTCTGTAAATAGAAAGATTCTTACCCCCACCTCAGGCAGACTTTTTTTTATTTTTTTTTATTTTTCCCAACCTCAGTAATTAATTTCCTACGTTGTGACACTGTAATTACAATTCTGTTTTTGTCTTTTTCCATACTACTCACATTCTTGATCAAATTCACCCACAGTAGTAGTCTTTTTAGGCTTTAAAAAATACTGAAATCTGAGTTTTAAATTACATTTAATTCAATATAAAATGTGTATTTATGACCCACTAAATATGCATATGATAACTCATTTAAGCTGTTACTTACAAAAATGATCGACCAAAATAAAAATGCGCGCCCTCCAGACTTCTCAATTCTCGTTCCTCTATTTACATTCGCCTTCACGCAATTGACTTATTCCATGTATTTTCATACACAGTCACAATCTCATCAGCGAACTAACTTTCCCCTACTTTTTTTTACAATCTTTCCCTAATCCTATCTTCGACACTAGGACCTACTAAAATGTCGGGATCTGCCCCCGGAAAAGTTTAAAACCTCTTGTCAGTGATTTTATCGGAATTCCACTCCTTTATAGTCCTATTTTTCTCGGCCAGTCGTCACGGACCGTGCACAGTCAACACAAGTCTCTGCTCATATAACTATTCACTTGAATATTATGCCATTATGTTGCATCCTTTTCAAATCAATGTATGATCATAATCTTTATCTGATTTTTCATTCCATCGAATAAGTAAAAACAGTCAAAGTGTATGAACCTATGTTCTGATTCACTTAGTGAATTTTATGACGGACCTACTATATGTTCTTTTCCATGCCGCAGCTACAGTCTCTACTGTCTGCTCTACACAAGTCTTCCTCTTACACAAAGTCTTCCTCTTACACAAAGTCTTCCTCTCTACACTTTCAGTCTGACAACAATACTTCTGCTCAACACTTAATACTATATACATTTAAAAATCATCGAATTATTCAACTGCTTTAAAATTTTAACTACGTCAATCCTACATATCACATGACATCAATCAATTTAGTGGTAGCCAATAGCAGAAATTCGAATAAAAACAGGTTTTCTGCTTACCTTATGTTTTGGCATGCCTTGATGTCAATGCAACACGACAGATTAATGTTCTCTCCCCCTCCACGTCGGAGGTCACCAATTGTTAGGATTTCTTAATGGCATTAGCCATTTCCCTGCGTGTTCAATGAGAGTCAGGAGAGGTTTTCTTCAATGCAAAAGTATTAGCCATTTAATGAATACAATTGAATAATTCAATAGATACAGAGCTCCGGGTTGGAGGTGTCCCTCACGTATGTTAAGGCCATCTTCAACAACAACTCTTTCCTTCCAACCACTTTTATACACATGTGTAAACAACTGGTGTTCTAGGAATTGGCCGGGTGTGGTCCTTTACGTTCTGTATTATCTGGCCTTGGCACCACAGACCCTGGCCCCTCTTGACGTACATACATGAACATGACACAGCTAAATTACATACATAAACATGACACAACTATATAACATACATGGGCATAACACAGCTACATTCATAGAAAGAAATAAAAGAGCTACAATTAAAAAGTAATAAATTTCTAACAAGTGCTTTGACCTTGTTCTGTTGTGGCTGTATGAGACCTCTTCCAATGTGGAACCCGAGGTATTTAGCTTCGGCTAGCCCCAGTTAAGTTAATCAGCCGCTAGATTCGAACCGAGTTCATGCTTGAACGTATCGAAACATGTTGCCTTGGGTTTAGCGAGCTTTTCTCTGTTCTACCTCCGAAAGCAGCACCTTTGATTCACATTCTGTTTAAAGTTTCTCTTTTTTCTTGATTTTGCCATTGCTTTTTCTTTGGGTTTTGCCAAAGTAGAGTTATTAGCATATTCATACAGGGGCGGAGTTTTTGTGCTCATGCATGTTGCGCTCAGTTTCACGTTCATTCAGATGTACAAACAGAATATGCTTGAGATTTACAGCTTTGTGCGTACGCAATGTTTTAGTATGATTTCCACTCAAGTATTCGTACACGAGGCCCCTGAAGTTGTTGCAGAAACGGAGGGTGCCATCGGGTTTGGGGACCATCACTACTGGGCTGGACCACGGGCTACGGGATGGCTCAATGATTCCTAACTGTCTCATCCTCTGGATCTCCTCGTTGATAGTCAGCCGGCAAGCCTCTGGTACTCGATAAGGCCTTTGCTGGACGATGGTGCCAGGTGGAGTGATGATGATGTTTCTCCGAGAACACATCCTTGAACTGACCAACCAAGGCTTGCAGCTCCGCCTTCTGGTTCGGTGAGAGTTGCTCACGTATGTGCACTATGGGGGAACATTCTTCAGCGAAGGCGACTAGGTGGCCTGGCGCTGCAACCCACTTCTTCATCAAATTGATGTGGTATAGCTGTTCTTCCAGTCTTCGTCCCAGATGACGGATTCGATAGTTTACCGGCCCTACCCTTTACCACCACTGTATATGGTCCCTTCCAGGATGCGAGGAACTTCGAGGTTGTGGTGGGAATCAGGATCATCACCTTGTCTCATGGGTGGAACTCCCTGGGTTGGGCGGGCCGGTTATATAATAACTATTATATAATTGCGATCGCCAATGTCGTGGCTTTCCTCAGTGGAATCACTTCTGGGTATCTGGTAGCATAATCGAGGATGACAAGGATGTGTTCAAGTCCCCGGGCCGACTTCGGCAAAGGCCCTATCAAGTCCATACCGATGCGTGTGAAGGGCACATCAATGATGGGTAAGGGTATTAGAGAGCTGGGGGGTGGTCGTTGGGGAGACGTTCTTTGGTAGATGTCGCATGCCTGACAATACCTCTTCACCTCTCCGTCCAGACCGGGCCAGTGGAAATGATCGCGGATTCTCTTTACTGTATTGGCAGCTCCAGATGTCCAGCCATAGGGTGGGTATGTGCCAGCTCTAGAACCGTCTCCCTCTTGGTCCTCGGAACGACCAGTAGTGTCTTCTTTTCCCCCTGCCTCTCTGCGACACAGTACAGCAGACCATTTTGCACAATAAAATGTGGGAGGGGGTGAGGGCTGGGAAATCGCTCATTACCAACGATAATTCTCACTTGAGGCCAGCAGTGTTTGAGCGTCTCATCTTCCCGTTGTGCTCTCCCAAAGTCACCCCCTGAGGTTATCTGTTGAAACAGATCAAAAATCAAATTCGGGAGGGGTATTGCGGTTGACCACGCAACTTGCTGTCCGGGCCGGGGTCGAGTGTGTCGTCAGCT